TTCATGTTAACTACTAGCATTTTAATCTTAATACATATTCAGCAGACATCAACGTTTCGGTTATAAATGCCCTTAAATTCTGTATTTCATTTGGCCTTCTAACTTTTTTTATTCATTTAGTGCATTTTGAATACTGTAACATGTGTAAACCAATTTATTTTCGCAGATATTTTATTTCGCGTATTGCCCTTTTTAGCCCAATTCGAGGCGATTTAATTTCGCGATTTTCAAATTTAATTGATGTAGTTAAATATCAATATAAGGAAAAATCCAAGTTTTACGTATTTGCGACGATTTATATTCGCGTTATTTTTCTACACGCGAAGGTTGCGAAACTAAGTTGGTTTACCGTATAAGTTTACGCTCAAGATGGTCAATAGCTCCATATTTGTAGGATTTCGCAGTTAGACGGAGAGCAGAAGTTTCATATCGCAGAACTGTCAAAAGAAGGTCTGCAATATAAACTGATTATATAAATATAATAATAACAATTTCAATGAAAGCGTTTTCGTAATTCTAACAAATGTTAATACAGAAGAAAAACCCACTTAATATGAGATAAATACAATTGATATAAGGTATCTGTATACAAAATGTACATGTGAAATGTATCTCTGAAATATATTAGATTATGATATAAGAGGGTATAATAAGCAACACTGTACCATTAGTTGTTCAAGTTTCGTTCGACTGTATCAACCATCTTGTAAAAGGCTATGCAAAGATTATATTTATTGTATTTGTGATACTCTATTTGTAAATATCTTAATTTATCAACTGTTTAATTTAAATGAAACAAAAAGAATGAGAAAAAAAAATGAGAAAGTCTTTCAAAAACAAAAAGTAAAAATATAAAAAAGAGATTTCTACTTATGTTCAAATTGTCGTAACTACAATCCCGTTCCCTTTTCTCTACTGAATAATACTTAACCGGGTTGTACTCATATGAGCAAGACAACGGGTGCCTTCCAGAACACCTTCATTTTATCTTAGTGAATTCACAAAAATGAAAACAAAATTCAGCAAAAAAATTGGCCAGTACAACAGTCTATACCAACCAATAACACCAGCATTATGCATTGATACAGTTCTGATCGAATTGATCAAATCTAAAATTTTCAACAATTACATGTACAACACATTTATGACAATGAAGGAAGCTTTGATTTGATATTACAAATGTAATCGACGTTAACACGAATTTTGTATCCTACATGTGTTCATATACAGTTAAATCAAGAGAATACAAGAACTGCGCTGAACACTGCCGATTCTTAATTTGATAAAAAGTTTCACGGTGTAAAATATCATGAATAATAGAATAAATAAACATTTAGGCGATTTTGTTCTGAAATAAATTTTTTTTTATCTTAAATAATATAAAGAAGTGCAATAGTTATGCCAAAGGACCAAATATAAACAATAAGACTTGTTGTTAAAATAAATGTGGCCGTAACACGTTAAAATAAAAAAATCTAACTATTGATAGGCGTTTTTATCTTTCTTTTTTCTTTATAAATTTTTATAAAACTTATAAGAAATAAAAAGAAGATAATTTAACTGATACTTTTTGAGATACAGAAACCGACAAAATGATCAAATTAATTTCAGAATTAGAATATTGAAATTTTTGTTGTCATAGGTCTTGCTTTCAAACTTCATTCTCAATTCAGAATTTGAAACATTTCCATAAGTAACTGTCGGAACCATAATTGCGGACTTATATTGGTGTCCAATCTTTGTTTAAGAACAATTAAAACAAATAAAATGAGGTAACAAAATAATACCAATTGACAGCCGGAAAGAAAACAATATCTACTATTGAGACATTTTAAGGATAGGGCACAACGTTAGAAATAATACTTTGATTAAAGCTGAGTCATAACATATTCATTGACATGATGTAAGTTAATGCAGTTTCTGTACTTTCAAAAATTAAAAGTGAAATAGATTTATCTAATATGATAAAAAGCTAACCAAATAATTGATTGAAAATGCATACAGCAACTTTTAATATGAATTAGAATCATGTGCAAAACAGTGTAGCCGAGACCATTGATTGGCGCGCTAAAATATCCCATTGACTGGGTCAGATTTGGTGAACGTTCGTCTGTAACGCCCACAACTCACGACGTATTTATTATAGACATTTAAACTGTGGGGTCACCAAAGGGTTTCAACGCCTAAATAAAATAATTCGAAAAACTAATCAGGAATAACCTTTGTGTTTTGATTTATATTGAATACTTAAACGTTCTTTACTTGTGTTTTTGTTATGTTTTGATAATGAATTTTTATGATATCGGACGTTCTTTCAGCAAAAAAGGATTTAACTGGCTTTAAAAGTTACAATGGATGTGTTGATTATTATCTTTTTTTCGGACGTCAAAGCGATTAAACAATTGCGGTTGTCCAATTATGTCATCTTTTAACTTTTATCTGGTCAAAATTTTATTTTAGAACGAATGCATGATCAACTTTAAAAAGTGTGCAAACACAAAACATATAGACAAAATATACTTCTTTCCTGTCTTTTTCGTACTTGCAAGTTATTAGACAGTAAAAAGGCTATTTGGATCAAGCCTTGTGAAATTTGCATTTACGTTTTTGAATAGGTACACTGAAATGCAGTCAAGTTTATCGATTGATAATTCATTGATAACATTCTGGCGTATCACAAACAAACAACTTGTAACGTCTCATTTCATTGGCCGAAAGATTTAAATACAACAACAATTGTAGTGTGCACGTGAATTGACACAGGTGACCGACAATGGAATGTACTACGTTACTACGAACGTAAAAAACAATGATTTTTGGTCGAAATAATTAAATAAGTATTTTGTGAATTTGAAATAGTGGGGTCGAAATATTATACTAATAATTTGTGTTAAGTAATATTCTTTATGCATGCAGCACTTGTACCGCACTATGAAAAATATAAGGATAAAATAAAATACATGTGCCGCTTTTATACGGATGAATGTATGAACCACTTTAATTTCTTTCATATTGACGCTAGTTTATTATCCTGACAATGTCGTAGTTACTTATAATAAGGATCTCATAATACTGATCCATTTCAAATTTATGATGGGTTGCACATTCCTCTTTTATTGTTTTCATGCTATAAAACGAAAATAAAGTAGCTAAGCGTTTAGTCATTCAGAAATGACGTGTCATAAACGAGCAAATTGTCCCCGAAAGATCGTATCATGTGTGCACGTGAATATAGATGTACTATGCAATGTACTATCATGGTCACCACGAAATTCAAATGAATTCAGTGAAGGCATGTTGGTGTAAAAAGGTTTGAAATGTTTCATCGGCGAAGATTTTATTTTTGCATGTGTGGAACTAAAAAATAAATAAATACTTGTGAGAAATGTCGTAGTTTATAAGGAACTATATAAATGTACTGTTTTCGATTTTAATTGGTTGAAAATTTATCCTTTAATTTCATACCGTAAGAATAGAGCTTTGTCTAACATTGTTTAACTATCCGCCAAAGTAACGTGTGGCATGCGTGCGTATTAAAATGAAATACATGTATGATAAGCTTATAAACGAAATATTAAGAAATTAAGGATGACTACTGTAAAAGTATGTACAAAAATGGAGTCACCTTTTATCAATACATTAAGTGAATAACCACACTGTTTAAAACTGATTGTTTTCTATGCAACTATTTAAATATTTACAATATATAATTTTCAACCGAGGATAGCAAAACAGTTAATTATAAATTAAGAAAGTATATCGCTGGAGTTTATAAAGTACATTTCCTTCCACTGTGCCATGGTTTGCCATCTCCATTTTTTCTCTAAACAAAGCATGGCTGGTTACATGTTCTGAATTTACTTAGAATTTCGGGATTTATTTCAAAATCAAGTAAACTAAATCAGAAAAAAAATCACACTATCCTAAAACTTATGAAATAATATGAATAATGAACATGACAGTTTATAACACAAACCCATTTACTATAAATATCGAGCAATATCTTTAGTATGTAATTTGGTTATTTTTGTAGTTAAGTACGGTTTCATTTCAAGTACAACGTTAATTCATCAAGTCCATTGAATAAAAGATAAGGCAGGGTGAGCAACTTGACAAAAAAAAGGCAGGACGACGATTTATGTAAAAAAAATCAGGATAAACTAATAAATATAGTCAGGACCTAACAGACTGAAAAATAGAAAGACAGGACAGAGATAACAACTAAAATAAAAAAAAATGCAGGACAAAATGTTTCATCCAAGTCCCCCACCCCAAATCAAAATAAAATGGTAGCTCCCTTAATCCAGAACCAATTGAGAGGAGACAGTTGAATTAAATATTTCGACGTGACTGTAATTAAGATTAAAGTTTAAAATTTTACATGCACATGTATAAAAGCTAGAATTGCCATGGGATAATCAAGAACACAGTCATGTACGTGAATATGACGATGGAAGTTTTTAACGACCTTGACCGGCTACGTGAATACTGATCAGTCCATTCAGCTTTATAGTACGCGTGTTCTATTTTCGCAGGTGTGAGGTCGAAGGTTTGAATTGACCAATGAAAACGATCGTTCCTTAACGAGTTAATCTAATAAAGTTTGTTTGACTGATTATGTTGCACGACCTTTCGCTAAGCTTGGCCGCAGTTCAGTATAAAATGTATAGTTTGATGATCTTTTCTGCTAATTACTATACTTGTGAAAAACCCTTGGCAACAGAAACATATTCAGATTTTTTTTTAATCGACCCAATTTACATAGTAATGGACGACTTCGTACATTTTATGATCGCAAATAAAATATGTATATAATATACTGTGCACTTTAGTTCGTATATATACTGAGACCCTTTGGCAACCCCCCAGTTTAAATGTTTATAATAAATACGTCGGGAGTTGTGGGCGTTACAGACGAACGTTCACCTAATCTGACCCAGTCAATGGGATATTTCAGCGCGCCAATCAATGGTCTCGGCTACACTGTTTTGCACATGATTCTAAATAAACATACATCTTCTGTACCAGATCATCACAATAAGTAATACAAAGAGAATCAACACTGCAAAAATTCCAATCACGACATAAATTATAATAGTGTCTTCGTCTTCATCTGTAAATAATTATTTTATTTCTAAATGCTGTATACTATATATAATGTTTTAGAGATGTTTACATAAATATGTCACAGGAGCATGCAAAGTGAAGAAAATCTACCGATATATGGTATTTCAAAATAATGAAATATATGATATTAGAGAGCATTAACTGTATTACTGTTGTTTATATGTTCGCGCGTCTCTGTAAAGCATATGTTCTAGTTTTGTGATTTTGTGGAATACAAACGTATGGAACAAACTTAAGTGACATTGTATTTTCTTGTCATATGCTATATAAATCTTTTGTATGCTTGTATTACTTTGCTCAGCTCTTCATATAATTCCATATCACGGCTTTGTGACACCTAAAGCGTTGAAAAGGCGTTAAAAAGTTACCTGAATAAATTATCAACGTCATAATATTACTCCTATGGGAATTTTCAGGGTCAGCAAAGACAATACTTTTGTTTTTTTCATAAAGATAGGAATAAACGATTACACGATTATTAGATTTTCATCTGATTGATATTTACAATATAATTTCTGCTGTACACATTGTTGAACATTCTGAACTCGTCCGATCTACTCACTCGACTAAAGTGCTCATATTGTGATTTGCAGTTGATATTTTAAAGAGTATCAATAAATTAAAAATCTGAATACCGGTAACTAGGGATATAGAAAAACTAAATAAATATTTTATGTTCTAGTTTTGTGCTTTTGTGGAATACAAACGTATGAATCCAAATTTAGTGACATGGCATTTGTATTTTGTTAAATATTTGTTATTAATTTTCAATCTGCACATTTTCAGTTGATTGAATATTTCAATCTGAATGTTATAAAATTATCTTCAAACACAAACAAAATATTATCCAACAAACCATTTATCGTCAGCTGCAAGCAAGTAGATTGAGGATCATTGTTATCAAATAGATAAATAACATCACAGCAAAGATCTTGTCCAGTTTTGTCAGTCGACGGAACTAAATTTAATGTACCAGCTACTGTATAACTTCTGTCAATGATATCATATGACTGTACAACAGCTATCTCGTTTGTGTATTGCCGATCTTGGATTCTTATTGATATGGTTGGAGCAGGGTATCCATTCGCTGAAGAACAAATCCATTTTCCAGAGGATCCAGAAAGAAGGGTTGAAGGACCGGTCAGTGTTGGAACCCTTGGAGCAACTGAACAGATACAATAATGAAAACACTACACAAATAAGATATAACCACATGATATTTACATATAAGATACTGTGAATTAATTTTTTTGCTGGTTATCAATTTTCGTTGATTGAAAACAAAATTTGTTTTCGTGGTTTCCTGATTTGTGACTTTACAAATTATGCATACAACATTATTGCATTTTATTGAACACCAATTTTGGTGAATCCCCTTTATTTATAAAAAATAGTATCTCCGAATATTAATATAACTGTTTAAAGCAGTTGTGATTTCAGTCTCGTAGTCAGATTCATTATGGCGACAATAAAATTGAGAACGGAAATGGGGAATGTGCCAAAGAGACAACATCCCGACCAAACAGCATAAAACAGCCCAAGGCCGCCAATGGGTCTTCAACACAGCGAGCAAATCCCGCCCCCTAAACAAAAATGTGTACTAGTTCATTGAAAATGGACGTCACACTAAGCTCGGAAACATATAAATGAACTAAAATTTAAAAAAACATACAAGACTAACAAAGGACAGAGGCTCCTGAAGTGTGATAGGCGGAAAAATGTGGCGGGGTTAAACATGTTTTGTGAAATCTCAACCCTCTCTTTATACCTTTAGCCAATGTAGAATAAACAAACACACGACAATACGCACAGTAAAACACAGCTTAAAAGAAGTCCGAGTCCGATGTCAGAATAGGTATCAGAAGAAACTAAGCAAAATGACAATGATACATAAATTAACAAAGTACTATTAGCAGTTACTGACATCCAGCTCCAGACCTCAATTAAACTGATTGAAAAATTATGTCTTCATCATATAAAATCAAGCACAATCCCTTCCGTTAGGGGTTTAGTATCATATCATCATAAAATATATGAGAAGTACATAACCCGTATCATGCCAACAACTGGTTTTAGAATAAATGTGTTTATTTCCGATGCAAAGACCCTATGACATGTATGAGGGAATCAATATTAATTTTCAAAATATGCCATCTTTAATGACCTGACAACAGTATCGTAACTTTATCCCTTCTGAATACGTCTGTTTAAAGGTTTGGTTAGCACTGATGTGAATGATGACAATTTTGTGCTTTGTAAAGAATGTTACCATAAAAGATAGGATGTGAAATACCTGAACGTATAAGATGTCTGCCTGTTGATTTATATTTACTAATGATGTCCTTGTACCGATCTTCAAATTTAGGAAATGTTTTGACTACTTTGTGATATCGAAAACCCTGGTGTAATACTTTTTCAGTAATACAGCGATTTCTTTCCTTAAAATCAAATACGTTGTTACATAAACGAGCGAATCGAACAAGTTGAGATATATAATCCCCATAAGATTGTGACAAGGGAACGTCAACATCTGAAAATTGATAATGAACAATAGGAAATGAAAAATCATCTCTTTTAACGTAAATTTTGATATTAAGCTTCCCGTTAAAGATATATATATATCAAGATCCAGGAAAGGGCTGTGTTCAGTGTTCGTATTAGCTTTATTTAAAGTCAGTTCAGCAGAGTAAATCTCTTAAGTGTACATATTGAAGTCGTCATTTTTGAGAGTCAATTAGTTTATCGATGTCCTTATCTCGTAATCGATGAGGAAGAGACAGAAATTTAGAGAATCGCATAACTTCCAACCGGAGCGAGTCCAGATTCGCCGACAGGATAATTATTCCTTCGTATGAATGCGTCACCTGTCATGCGAAATAACATTCTGTTGAATGTCACAATTGGGACAAAGAAACAATCGGTAAAATTACAGATCAGACGACATTACTTTATGGAGTTCCAAAGAAAATCACGATTACGAGTCTTGGTAACCTTATCTTTCGAAACGAGGCATTGTTAAGAAAGAATAATACGAAATTATTGGTTATATTGACAACAACTTTAATTATGAAAATCAAAATTTAGCAACAAGGAAATTAAAAGTGACTATGCGTATATTCCATAAAATTTACGGCAAATATTTTTGCAAATTGAAACGTCGTTTAAAAGAATAAGCAGTGCATATGTTGCTGTATTGGCCAGTTGTAGAAAATTTAATCACAGATTCTGCAACGAATTTATTATGTTCGCAAAACCTGCATTTGTTAGCATCCTCTGCAATACTCTAAGCTTATACTTACAATACAACTCAATATATGTTGTCGACGCAAGAGGGTTCTGTAAATAGCCGTTATTAGCCCGACATTCAAACACTTCAAGGTGGTCTTCTAAACCAGCAACAAAGGTCAGCGTTGTTCTTGTCACCCCACTTCCTGAAAATCTATTTATACCAGTTGTGATAATATTGTTATCTCTCAGCCAATTCACTGTAGGTGAAGGATTTCCTCCTGTAGAACTGCACGATATTGTTACTGTATCTCCTAAATCATAGCGTTGTGATCCAGTGATTATTGGTTGACCTGGAGGTTTGTTGGAAGCTAAAGGGTAAACGAGGTTTGCAATACAATAATAATGATGAATATATGTGATATTATTACCTATTATGTCTGTTTGTTTTATTCACGCATCGTTGTCAATATAATGGAATTTGATGCGACTGTCATACAAGTGAGAGGTTTAGCACTATAAAACCAGGTTCAATCCACCATTTTCTACATAAGAAAATGCCTGTACCAAGTCAGGAATATGACAGTTGTTGTCAATTCGTTTGATGTGTTTGTGCTTTTGATTTTGCCATTTGATCTTGTTAATGAAATAACTGTTTTACCTTTCAAAAGAGTTACTGAGTGCGTGGCAATATCAAAATTTCGTCGTCAGCTTTTTTTTTTGTGTTTGTGGAAATTTGTATGGATTGTTTTTTAATTTTCATTTCATGAATATTAATTAATTGTATTTGTTCATCTGGATACTTTTGTTAGGTTTTAGTTACTGCGACATTATAAATATTTATATAAAACAAATTGAAACATAATATGCTAGGGAACTACAGTACTGTGGAGCAAAGATGAGCATAATCCCTTCTGAAGGTTCCAAAGTAAGCTAGACTGTGAATGAAAATAGAACATACAATAGTAAAAGTAAAAATCATCAGATTTGAGAGGGAATGATCAGACAGACAAGGGATACTGCTAATGACGAAATATTTCGTATCTATTTAATGCATTACATTGTTAAATTGTTCGAGAAAAACGTGATAGTCTCGACTTCATCTGCAGCTAAACTTTTTAATTAACTGTGTTCCGATGATTTAACACATGTTTAACTCACACAAGTACATTGTTGTTGAAGAACTTATTTACTTGCATGTTGTTTTTAGTGTTGTACTTACTCTAAACTTTTTTAATTTAAAAAAAAACCTAACAGATTTCCTATACGATAATAAATGAATAGCTTATAATGGACTAATATACATGGGTCAGCACCGCGAAAATACATCAATAAACAGATCGAGCAATTTATGTCTGAGTTTATATGATATTCCAAAGTTTGCGTTTCCTATCATGATTTCCTTGATAGAAAGTTGCTTATTACGCAAGCTATTAAGCTATTAAACGATAGGTTCCAAGTTGTGAAGTTAAGGTCATCACCTCGAAAATTTTACGGAAGTCATTGCGAATAAGTCGGCGATAATGGAATATCTTTTCACAGATGACGACAATAATGTTTCGATCGTAGTAACTAAAACCACGTCCTTTTTTTCCTTGAATTTACATCAGCAACCCGATGACAGCCATATAATGAACAGGATCTGCATACCTTCCGGAGTACCTAAGATCAATCCTGGTAATTCGTGTTGTTCAGTCTTTAGTTTTCTAATTTGTATTTTTTATACTGTTGTCAGTCTTTTGGTCATTTTTTTATATGTTCGTGGCGTTGTCAGTTTGCAGTTTGTTTCTTACTGATGAGTTTGAATATTCATTTTGTATCTTCCGTCTCGCTTTTATATCTTACTTAGAATAGTATGATGTATGTTAATTAACATCAGACATGGGAAAATAGTGTAAATAAAACGAATTGTGTTCACAATGCAGGTTGATCATGTTGATTAAAGTAAATAATTATGTAATAATAAAAGTATAAATTAAAACTATAAGCGCTTCTACAGGAGGGTGAACTAGGGAACATCAGCATAAAAACATTTATAGAAATGTCCGGCGATGGTTGAAAAAACACTAAATTCATGTTTTGCCTTATTTGAAAATCCCTACCATACATATATTTCAAATGAAACTCATTACCCATTTCTATATTTCTAGCTACCAGAATACAATTTTGACATCTTAATTAGATGTTAACCACATGATATCTTTTCTAGAAATTAGATCCGATAGCAATAATATTCATAGACCAGGCTGGATTACTCGTAATATTAATTTATTCAATCAGGATTTTGATCTCCCTTGTCTTATTTCTTCTCCTTTACGTAAACATGTCCACTGTTCATTAACTCATTTAAGCCAATAGAATCTAAGCAGCATTATCAGGAAACCAATTTAAACTAAATTTTGCTACTCTAATTTCAAGATGGCTTTTATATTGTATGCAACTTCATGTAATACAACATTTTGTGTGCCAAAACACTTTTCTGAATTGATCTTTATCTTTAAATTTTCATATAGACATAGACATAATTTGCTAACACCTTTTTCCTTGTATTTTTAAACCATTAAATAAACATTTTTATATTTCATAATATCGTCATACACTACTATTGAACGATAGACAGAAAACGATAAGTATTTATAACGTAAAATACGGGTACACGTTACTAATACAGCATCCGAAAGTCCGAAAGTCACAAAAAAATCAAAAGATACATTTATATTAGCATACGACATTTGTTGATAAGACAATTGTCTAGACATTAGATAGAGATGTAATTAATGTTTGAAGAAATGACAATACATACGATTTAATACTAGATATGTGGTTTTCACAAGTGGTCTCTGGAGAAAACCATTATTCGCCTGGCATTCATATACCTCTAGATCGTCATATGAGGTCGTTACAAAGGTCAATGTTGTTATTGTTTCATTTCCAAATCTGGATGAGTTAGTACCATCATTAATTAAAATATTATCCTTCAACCAAACAACTGATGGTGCAGGATTTCCTCCAGAAGAACTGCATGAAAGAATTACTGTTATTCCTTCTTCAATTTCTAACGCGTTATTTGTTTGAGGTTCACCTGGAACACTTCTAAAGGATGCTAAAATAGTAAAGTCTCAAATTTAACATTGACAACAAGTCCAAAGCCAATAACAACTAATAAAAACAATATGTATCTAAGACTAAAATATCAATCAGTACACAACCAACATCCAGTGGATTTAGTATAAAGACGTCATTTACAGTCAAAGAAAAACATGACCTTGTGCAACACTAAACTATAGGTCTCGAAAGGAAAATATCGACAGATTGTAGTACCGTGAATGTACATATGTGTATCACAATGATATTAAGTTTGGTTTAGATTACAGATAACAAAATCAATATTCATACCAATGAAAACAATATTCAAAGATCCAATTACAGTGTTGAATCTGTAACCTTTCAGAATAAATTGATTTAAAGAATTAATAAGTTTACCGGATCGTATCTTAATTTCCGGGCTCGTATACAACATCACCGTAAAATGAGATGTGATATTCCGTTTGAAATACAGGCAAACTTACAAACCAAATCTTTTTATCTATGAAGCATTTAGTAAAGGTTTTAAGTAACTCATTCTTTCGTAATCTGTTGTAACGAAATCCCTGACTTAATAATATACCAGTGATACATAGATTACGCTCATTGAAATCCAAAACGTCACTACAAAGCGAACGAGTTGGGATACATAAGCACCGTAAAACAACGCCAAAGGAACAGCACCGTCCAAAAGAAGGAAAATCAAAAATAAGGAAAGAAAAATTGTCCCTTTTGTCGTCAATTTTTGTGTAAAGTTTCTTGTGTGAAACTGAAAAATCCTAATGTAGGAAATGACAGACGTTGCTTTTAATATTTGATTTATTAAAAGAAAGTTCCTTTGGGTAAATTCCGGCAGTAAATATAGAGAATTCTTTATTATTGTACGAAACAATATCATAACGATAAACGGTAGATGTTATTGAATTTATCAATCAGATAGAATTTAGAAGGGCTTTTACTGAGGATTTTCATACACTGCAATTTATAACAGTACAGGAATAAGTTTATTATTTAAGGAACACATTTGGTGCCTATAAGAATACCCGTAAACTTGATAGCCGAGACGTACGTAAATGTTGTCAAGGAGAAAATTTACAGCTGTATTTATCTTATCACATATTCAGTAAGTATATCTATAAATAAGAGATGTAGTATGACTGCCAATGAGACAACTATCCATCCAAGTCACAATATGTAAAAAGTAAACAATTATAGGTCAAAGTACGGCCTTCAACACGGAGCCTTGGCTCACACAGAACAGCAAGCTATAAAGGGCCCCAAAAAAAGACTAGTGTAAAACAATTCAAACAGGAAAACCAACGGTATAACCTATATAAAAAACAAGAAAAGAGAAACACTTATGAACCACACCAACCAACGACAACCATCGAACAACAGGCTCCTGACCTAGGACAGGTGCATAAAAATGCAGCGGGTTTAAACGTTATAACATGCGCCAACCTTTGCCCTAACCTGAAACAATGGTATAACATTAAAACATACAAAGACACACAATAAAATATCAAGTATTATTAACTCGATCAAAAAGACAATACACAAAAACAAGTAAATATACACTGAACGAATAAGTTTGATCTATGACACAATATAAATAAAAAAGATGTTTCTATGTCAAAAAAACAACTTTAACCTAGGAAAAAATGGCGTTAAATAAAGTAACGTACACTGGTAAATTTAAATATAAAAATTTTCTTGTTAGGAGTACAGAACCATTTTTTACAAAATAAATTTGCTATTCATAGTTCGAGTACAGAAGTGAATTTTTTTTTCGTCATACTAAATACTTATCAAAGGTGGTAAAAAAATAGTAAGACGAGATATAACACAAAATAAGTAAACATTGAATAACAGAAATGCATTACAAATTGAGGCAATAGGTCATATTAACACGAAAGTACGATGTGAGAGTACTCGCAGTAACTCGATCAAAAAGACAATACACAAAAACAAGTAAATATACACTGAACGAATAAGTTTGATCTATGACACAATATAAATAAAAAAGATGTTTCAATGTCAAAAAAACAACTCTTACCTAGGAAAAAATGGAGTTAAATAAAGTAACGTACACTGGTAAATTTAAATATAAAAATTTTGTTGTTAGGAATACAGAACCATTTTTTACAAAATAAATTTGTTATTCATAGTTCAAGTACAGAAGTGAAATTTTTTTTCGTCAAACTAAATACTTATCAAAGGTGGTAAAAAAATAGTAAGACGAGATATAACACAAAATAAGTAGACATTGAATAACAGAAATGCATTT